GCGTGGGAGGGGAAGAAGAGGGATACTATTTGGAGGGAAATCTAGAAAACCAGAATGACGGGAAATAACCGGGAATTAGGCGTCGGTTTAGGGAGGTAAAAAGAGAGAGGGAGCGGCGAGAGGCGGCGGAGCTGAGGCAGAAGGGCAGGGGGCCGGTTTTATGGGTGGATTGATTCTAGTTTTTTGTTGAGAGGGATGGTGGGATGGAGGGATGGTTTGCCGTTCGGTGGTAAAAGAACGTTGAAGAAAGGAGTTAGGGGAGGAAGCAAAGCAAATAAACACAGAGGGAAACCATGGATTTTGCTTAATGAAATTGTTTTTATTTATCATCAAGGTTGTCGACTGCGGTGGATCCATTTTGATTCTGACTCGATGAGAAAAATAGGCCGCACCCACTTATCGGGTCGACCGCTACAAGATATCGGGTTGGAGGAAAAACTGTGTCATTTTTTTCTTTGGTTTGTGAAATGCGCCTATTATCCGATTTTTCTTTTCGCCTAACTCAATCTTTGGAATTCCTAGTTGAACATTTTAATATTGATGTTATATAAGTGTGTGTGAATTTTCACTATATGTTCAATATAAGTACCACATTTACTTTGGTGTAATGTTATATGTTATTACTCATATGTTAGATGAGATTTGATATAATTTATGAGGATAAGTACAATATAATCACTATTTCCATGTTTCCGCGCTAAAATGGGCTAAAATGGGTGACCACTTAACCCTTAACCCACTAGCTCGATCGGGTCCGAGTCAACCCACGGGTTGGCAACCTTGTTTATCATTGTCCACTTGCTTTTGGTTTAGTTTCTTCAATCATTGGTCAATTGCTAAATGAACTAGCTTGTACCCGGCTAAATTTATTGTTTGATCATAAGCTATACTAATAAAAGTTTGTTCATGAATTAATTAGTCATAATATTCATTTTATTGAAATTCTTTAAAATTTAGTTTACGTACTTGATTGCGATTTGTTATATAGGCATGAATTAGCTCTAGGTTTGCTCGTTTGTTCTTGATAGTGTATGAATGATTGTATCCTATCTATGTTACTTGATTGAGAATCCTAGTTGACCGACGAGGTGGCCATGCCGTGGAAACTAGGAGCTCACCAAGATGAGTGCATGGCCATTGACTCATCGGGCTTGTGCGGATGAGTTAGACTCGATTAGAGAAGGTAGAAACTATTCCTAGTTAGAAGGAGCAACTGAAGTAACAATGGATCGTTGGACATGGCTAGAAGGGGATCAAGCGACATGACCTTTACACTGACCCCCACTCTAGTGACCTTCGCACCACAAATAACCATAGAAATTAATTGACTACCTATCTTACAACTAGAAGGATTCGATCCTAGACAACCATCTCATCACTATCAACCTCCAAACTCCTTAGTTGGTTGTTTATTTATGCAGGTTCGTTTAGTTCTTAAACCTTTCTTTCTATTTGATTGGAGAGTAGTTTAAAGTAATAGTAAGTATAAGGTTCCCTTAGAATATGATCTATTCCTTAATAACATCCAAAAATGTGTTATTTAACCCTCATTTATTAGGTGTTTTATTGTCATTTTGGGCATGAATTATTATATAACATGTATTTGTAGCCTTGATCACTTATTTTTATCATATCAAGTCATTTTAGGTCGCATTTGACGTTACAAGCAAAAAGGGGGACAATATGGGGGTAATATGTAGAAAAAACGAGCAAAAGGGAGAAAGGAACAAGATCGTAGCCTAGCGAGCAGGATGTCAGCCGAGAAGCCAGCCAACCAGCAAAGTCAAGCCAAAGATCACGGGCTGCAGCTAGGAGATCGCGAGCGCGATCTCGAAATTCATGGTTGTGCTATTTAGGACGAATCGTCAAAGAATGAACATGAAGTTTTGCTAGGCGGATCACAAGCCACGTTGATTGATGTCGAGATCAAAAAATCGCAGCCGCATGGCAAAGTTTGCCCCGTGAACATAGGGTGCAATCTCTCGCTCGACCAAGACTAATAGACAAAGCTAAAGATTGTTAGTCAACAAGACTAGATTACAGTCGTGATCTTGGCCGAGATATATAGGGCCTATAAATAGAAGAGTTGTTGGATTGAGAAAGGAGAGCCAAGACAGAGTGAGAAAATTAGGATTTTGGGCAGTTTTTAGAGAGAAGCACAACCACTCTCTATGACTTGAATCCCTAAGGTTGTTTAGGGAAGATGAACCGTAGCTTATAAATTGTGTATGAGTCATGTGTTTGAATGATTTTGAGCGTATAATCTATGTCTATTTGATGTTTGTGAATAAATCTCTTGCTTGATTGTGATTGATTTGTTCTTAACCTAGGTGAGAGATCTATTATCTTGTGTAGGAGTGCTTTAGACATCAATTAGTGTGGGATTATCTGTATCCCATTTTCTTAGTTGCAGCCTAGACAATATGGGATTTGTCATTACTATACATGATGCATTTCAGACATCAAGCTTTATATTTATAAACTCGATTTTCGATAATACTGACTTCCCTTATCTAGGAAAGGTCACTCTGGATCAGAGAAGTAGTATAGATGTAACCGAAGTCGTATTCCAAGGGTCACGGTATCCTATGCTACTTAGACTCAGTTGCTATCTAGTCAATCTGTTACTTAGCAGGTGGGCAGTTGGACATTACTAAACTAAAGGTCAAAAGAGGAGAATAAGTACTTGAGGTAACTCCCTCGTCCTAAACTTAGGTTCATCATGCGAATGCTAGCTACATTGGGTTTGTAGGATAGAGTGCGGAACTCGCTCAACAGATGGTTTCAATGATTATTTCCTCCTCCTAGCATGATTCCAGATACCCAATGTCATCTCAATCAAAGTTCACATACTAGGGATGCTCACTTTGTTTCTCTCAATAGGTTCAACCTATCATGGACACTAGATTGGTGTTTCGATTAGAACGCGTACAACCTCTCTAGCATTGCTTAGGAGGGCATGCTTATAGTAGGGTTTCGATTGCCTCGTACACTAAGGAACCATAAGTCGTTCGTCTACCCTTAATTAGCCATATGGTGCTCAAATCCAATCTAACCGTAAAATTCCCACATAGTTCTAGACTTAGTTGTAGGCTAGTAGGGAAGAGTTGGAGAGACACACCCTAACATAATTAAGCATAAATGAAGCATATAATCACTAAAGAAAACATATCCATACATAAACCACCACACAATTACATCTACCTTCAGAACCTAATTTTAGGGTTTGGGGGACTACGCCCTAAAGTACCTAGAGGGATTACCCCATGAAAGGGGGAAGAAGAGACATGCAAAGAGGGAAAGAAATCATGAGGAAAGGATCTTCAATTGTTGAAAATCCTCCTCCAAAGCTCTCATCCACTTCTTCTTCTAGCTTCTACTTCTCTCTTTAACCTCAGTGTAGAACAAGAAACCTGCCAAAAGATATCTATTCAAGGGGAGGAGTCCCCTATTTATAGAATTTTTGGAGAGAGGCCGCGATCTCCTTTCTTCAGCAACTTTGGTCTTGTATGGCTTTGGAGATCGCAGGCTGAATTCACGATCGTGATCTTTCTCGTTGGCTCGGATGAAGAGAGTTACGAATGACTATCAAGAATTTATGTTCCTTCCTTGACGGCTGCATCTTCAAGTTCCCGCCCGAAGCTCCATAGTTTGCGGCCGCGATCTTTGTTTTCTAGGTTGTGATCTGCATGCCCTACTTCGCGCCCCTACATCTCGGCCGTGATATTCACTCCTTCAGCTGCGAACTACATTTTGGCTCCTTTTCCTACACATTAGCCTCATTTTCTTCCCTTTTTTGCTGTTAACTTTAATTGCAACTCAAAATGACGCGAAATGACAAAAGGAAGCAGTCTTGGCTACAAATGATGTTTTGTAAATTAAATCATGGTCAAAATAACATAAAAACACTTAATAAATCAAGGCTAAGTAACACCTTTTTGGGTGTTATCAACTCCCCACACTTAGGCGTTTTCTTGTCCCTGAGCAAACACGTGATCAAACTATGCAACTCGAAGCCCCTTATGTCTCTTCCCTCGATGTGTTTCATCGGAGTGGGGGTTCTAGTAACTAGCTTCACTTGGCTTGTTCCACCCTTTCTTGGCCCAATTTGGAAAATCCCAGAAAGCATGTCCTGGAATGAAGGAGATAGGCACAAGGTGCAAAACAAAACTCTCAAAGGTAGGTGATAGGACCGGTACTCACACAGTTCTTTTCTTCACTTTTTCAACAATCTTTATTCGATTTAGATTAACGCTTTGGTTTTTTTTATTTATTTGGGTAGACTTTCATCTTAAGATGAGTATGTGCATATATGGCACTTAGTATTGTGTGCTTGTTAGCCAGGAAAGTAGGGATAGATATTCATACCTATACCTCATCCCACGAGGGGATGCACATGGGAGGATGGGAGTAGTGAAAAGATGAAAATGAACACGGTAAAGCTATCCGATCTTCGATGTACATTGTCCCAAAAAGCACTCCGGTTACTCTAGAATGGATTGCCACATCATCTTGCGTTAGACGCTACACCCCACTTTTATTCATAATAAATAAATGATTTATATCGTAGCCCAAACTTAATCGCCCATCTCATTATAAAAGCTCGCTTCCCTTTCCAATATTCACAACACATAAATCCAACTTATAGTTTTTGCGTGAACTTGGATGACATATTAATATATTTTCATTCTCCTGCTAATTAAATATTGCCGTATTGATTGCTTCGAATTTCTCCTCAAGTAAACAAAATTAGTAGCAAATAAATCACCACCACATCATTCTACCAGACAAACTATCCTGACCAGGCCAGTACAATTTCTTAACACGTGTGAAAATAAAACAAACTCATCGATAAATTATATTTTCCATGATATGTAAATTTTGCAGATCTGGTAAGGGATCATATTGTTTAGATTAGCTAGACGCATTACAAGGAAAATAGAATTGAAATGAAGGATACATATAGGTTGACCAATCCACAGAAATAGAGAAGGAAATTTCTAATATCTGTAATCGTCATCGAAGATCATGTAATTGCTACTAGTGTAACTGTTGTTCACCATGTACTTGTTCTCGGTACTGCTCCTGCTTCTTTCATTGCGCTGAGTCTGCTGGAGGTTGCCAAATTAAGTTGAGCAAGAAATTGAAGGAAAAAGTAAAAAAAATATAGAGAACAAGCTAGGAAGCAGCTGTGTTAATAAGAGGCAAACCAAAGAAGAAAGAGACCTTGTTGACGATCATCCTCTCAAATGCCTCAGTCCCATGCTCTTCAATGTATCTCTCGGCAGCAGTTAAGACATCATCTGGCTGACTAAATATGTTCTTCTTTCTTGGGACATACCAAATCGTGTTGTTGACAAGAGCCGCCAGCTGAGGATTCATGTAAAATGGGCGGATGAAGTTCTTGTAGACGTGCGCTGCTCCGTTGAAGTGCGGTAACACCAACCAACAGCTCACTATTAACTTTGCATATGCCCACACGGGAATGCTGTCATATTGATAGAACCTGAGATTAGGGTTCTATCGGATATTGGGATTTAGGGATTAAGAAAAGAATTAGGGTTTTGAGATTGGGGATTAGAGGAAGAAGAAGAATAGAAGACAAAATCGGCCGAAGCCTTAGAGGGCTAGAGAACGAGAATTTAGGAGATAGAGGGTTAGGGTTTTGGGAGAGATACTTTCTGAATAATTGTTCTTGCTTACTTCATAATGAAACCCAGGTTACATATTTATAGGAAAGATAGGAAAACCAAATAATAAACCTAATTCTACTAAAAGACTACTAACCTTATTGGTAAATATCCTAATAATAATAATAATGATAATTATGATAGATCACAAAAACGTGTTTCTATCACATATATATTAACTTTTCATATCAGTTTCCCAGTGAGTGTAGTAAGTTAATTATACTGATGACATCATATATATATATATATATTGTGCTCCAATGGGTTACCTTTCGAGGATCTTGGCAAAGGTGAGCTCGAAGAGTGTGATCATAGAATAAAGGACCCAGTATGTGAGCCATTGTTGGTCATCGCTGCGAGATTTGGTCTCTATGGCCCTAATCGAAGCATACATGCATTAATTAATTCCCAGCAACTGAATGACCACCATGTACAAATTTCACAACAATTATATTATGAGGCAATGGGGGAAAAGAAACTTACAGTGGATAAAGGAGGGTGACCAGAGGTCTGCAGCAATATTAATGGCCAGTTGAAACATGAAGACATATGAGGCAAAAAACGTCAGAAATTAGCCTAAAAGATTGGAGGAGAAGAAGAAGAGAGCGATGAATGAGGCATTACAAAGCGAGAATGTCCAAATTCTTAGCCACGACTTGCACAAAGTTTTCTGAGCCACCAGCCATGAAAATTGATGTTGTTGATGAACTATTCTTGTCTTGGACTGGGCTAGCTTCGATCACTACTTTGCTTTTCAACCGCGTCTATGAGTCCAGTTCCTTTTTAAAAGGGGGACTAGAAACGGGGAAAGTTGGATGGAAAGGTCAAAAAGATGGGCGGAATTTTGGGGTTTAAAGAGAACCGATTTCACTTCTCCTTTGTACGACCCTTTTCATTTTGCACGAGAAAAGAGACACCGATTTTAGTTGGTTCTAGCTAGGGTGCTTAGGATTCTAGGATTTTTATGGAGCTCAAGGCTAAGTTTACCTATTCTTTTGAAGTTCGAAATTGATAAGAAATGAAGGCATGCATGAAAGAAACTAATAAATATTTTATGTGGTTGGACTCATATAACTTAGGGACGTCTCTCAGATATAGTCGTATTATTTTTTAAATTTTTCGGTATATACTTTACCATGTTATATATATGTACCTGTTAACAGAAATCCTAACTAATTAATACAAGTATTACTGCCGCCTGCACAAGATTTTGACAAATAAGTAATAACTAAAGGCTGTCAATACTTAAACAAATAATTAAGGGCTGGTCTAATGGTAATACTAATACTACTATATTAGTAGATTTGAATTTTACAATCTTATGTTCGAAATCCTTCAATAGCACCTAACTATAAATAAACATACATCACCCTTATAAAGAAAAGTAAGGTTAATAGCATTTTATACCCATGTACTATTGCAAGTTAACAAACATACCGTTCAACTTTATATTCCAAAACTTTGAAACCCAAACTATGCTCCGATATCTAGATGCTCCTTTGGTGATAGGCTTCTTCCGGACGACAGCGGTAGGGGTTCACTAGAGAGAGTAGGAGCGGAGGAAGCCACCGATCCACTCGCCGACCTTCAAGCTGCGGGAGAGTTTTTATGAAATTGGAAGAGGAGATGATGATATTGGCCGGTTTTGTTGTTAGATCTAAAACGGTAAGTCCGAAAAAGGAATTGAATTGAGCAGCTAAGTCATCTCCATTTTGTCGGTCGAGATTTGGCTTTTTTAGGGTTTTGATTGAAAAGTGGCGCAGGAAGAGGTTGTAGTTCTGTTTCTGGTTTTACTGCCGTCACATGGAGGTTTCTACAGGAGAGAAGGCGGAGGTAGAGGGCGATGGGATTTAACTAATTCGGCAGTGATTTCGAGTTTCCGACGGGATAACTGGGATGTGACAGCCGCCGGAGTCTCAATCTGATTCAATCGAGAATAGGGATGGCAATCAAACCCATGATCATGGGTACCCGGCTGCCTCTGAACCAGGGTATGGGGCGGGTATGGGTAAAATCTGCAAAAAGTTCGATGGGTTCATATGTGGCTGGTATGGTTTTAGGATCATATTTTTTGAATCGTATTAAGAAAATGAACATGTTTTATTGATGACTTCATGATATTATAGATTCATCTAGTGTTATAATTAAAAATTATCTTCTAAGTTTTAGTTATAATAATGTTGGATGTACGGGGATGGGTATTACCCATGTGTACCCAAAACCCAAGGGTTTGTGAATGGGTTTGCAAAATATTCCCCCGTATGGGTATGGGGGCGAGTATGGGTTTGAGATTTGAAAATGGGGATGTGGATGGTTTAGGAAAACCCTCCCCAAACCCACCTCATTGCCATCCCTAATCGAGAAGACGTCGGGTGGTTCCTCGGTATTCCACTAACGAGAAGGGAAGATAATGAATTTAACAATCTAAATTTATTTATTTAATTTTCCTTTTAGCTGGAAATTAGTTGTACACATATTGTTAGTAGAGGGTAATATAGTCCTTTTATAAGCCTTTTAAAAGTCAACTAACAAAAATATGGATGGGAGGCTATATTTGTTACATTGCAATAATAGAAATGTACGTTTGTGCAAAAAATTAGTAGAAATGTATGTTTGTTAACTTGCAATAGTACAAGTGTATAAAATGCTATTATAATGAATGATGTTTGCACAATATCAAGTTGTGAGTAAAAATCAATGTGTAACACCCTAGCTCGGCCGAGCACTACTTTTACTAAAATGCCCTTGATAAATAAAATACTCAAATCTTAAATTGCAGCGGGAAAAATTTTCATAAATAAAATACTGAAAACACACCCTTGTAGTTTAAAGCAACGCCCTAACACATGGGCAAGCATACTTAATACTTAAAATCTCAAAATGACCTCAAGTCTATACTCATAATCATAAATGTAAAAAACTAATAATCTCTAATGTTGTTGCTACTGAAAACCTTGACTAAGCATCCTCAGTGACGCTTATACTGCCCTCCTTTAGCTGGCTGCCCTCGAACTCGCTGCTCACTAACTACTCCTCTAGCTCCTCCTCTAGCTCTTCAAAATGGTGAGTGAGATGGTGTTAGTCTACGCCCTTACGTTTAACATCTTATTAAATATTTGATCACTTTACATAACTTAGTGGAGGTTGTTTTGTACTTCCACTATTAAAAATCTTAACTCTTAAAATTGCATTCTTAAAGCTCAAATCTCCACTTAAATTCTTGACTGACACGGGGATGCCTCACTCTCTAGTCTGATTGCCCAACTCATAAGTATGAGAAGCCATCACGGATTTCTTTAAACTTAAACTTATCGTGGAAGACTCTTCTTCCACGATTCTCAAGAGCATAACTGCTGCTCATCTTAAAAATCTCAATAGCATAACTGCTGCTCAACTTAAATATCTCAAGAGCATAACTGCTGCTCTATCTGAAAATCTCAAATGGCAACGGACTGGCGCTAATGACTAAAAACACTTAAAACTATTTCACATTCTTGAAGGTGAAGAACTTCTTAAAACTGTTTCTCAAACTTAAACTTACTTGTAAGTAAAGCGCACAACAACATAAAACTAAAAGCATAACTCACACAAATCATATGACATCATATAAGCATACAAAGGCAAGTACTGCACATAGCAATCAATCTCAAAAACTGAAATACCATAAGGCGTATAATTTACCCTCTTTACAATCACCTTACTACTAAAGTCTATCAGCTTGAATTGAATCAGTAAGTAGTTGTGCTTCCTCACATGATAATGCCCTGATATTTCAGTTTGCCCATCATGTTTGAACGAATACAAAACCCCTTGAATGACTACCAAACCCCTTGAACGACTACAAATCCCCATCATATCCCATGCCCAAATCTCAGCTACGTTCAGCCTCTTCTTTCCACCTGCATGACATAGCCTTAAACAAATCGAGCGTACCATGCCAACCACCCAATCCCGTTACTAAGTTTAGTTAGTCCTTTGTTACTGATTCATTAGATATGTCCACCAACCGCTTACCTTGCTCAAATCGCTGTGTCTCGGGAAATAATTTCCTTCTTCAAGAAAACGAGCCTCTAGTGCCAAATATGTGAGTCCACGTTGCTTTCACCAAAGATATCACTAGGTAACAGCAACCGCTGCCGCCTTGGTTCATTCCTCTCGTGTGCGAGTGGCCGTTGGCGTCGGGCACTCCACAAAGCTACCGATGAGGCTACAGCTCCTCTCCTCTGCCCGTCCATTCACAAAAGACGACCATGATCGGATCACTCCTCCGCTTGAGGCTTCCATCGAGCGCGTCAATCAACCGCCACCGATAAGAAACTGCCATCTTGCCGACTCCAAGGCGCTCTCAAGTGATGCCTCCAATCAAGTCCCAATAATGCACGGGCTTTATTCTAATTCTTGGAAACATCCCTATTCTAATATGAGCAATGCATGTCCATTTGTCACCCATCCAATTCTAGTTCTTTTACCCACGTACATGCATGATTAGGCTTTGTTGACCATAATAATCAACACCATGTATGAGTTAGAAGAGGGAGATCCTTACCCCTTTATTTGGGTCGACACTATTGGGAATGAATAGCTTTGAAAACTATATTAAATTAATTATCCAGTATTTTTCTATATACGAAAAAAGAAGTAATTAATAAAAAGAATATTATGGAGATAATTAAAATTAATTATCTTAATATAATATATTTTAATTATGGGAGTAATTATCTCCCTAATTAAAATGTGACTTATTCCCAAAGATAGAGGGATTATTCTGGGTTTTCTGCTCCTATAAATAGAAGACACTCCAGACCCTCTAAACACACTTTAGAGAGCAGAAACACGAGAGAGAGTGAGATTCAAAGAGCTCCGGTTTTCCGCACAAAACCGCTGAGTAAATCAAAAGAGTGGTTGTTTTATCCTGGAGGCGACCGACTGATAGTCTGTTGTGCGAATAACGAGGTAGTACCACGAACGTCTTAAAGAGAGCGACCTAATCAGCGACTCAGCCAGATCGGTAACCCTAAATTTTCTGTTCGGTTTCTAAAAGACACTTCCCGGCGGTGACTACTTCGAAAAGCTCTTTTTCCTCGTTACACCGACCGATCGATTTCCTTCCCTTTGGCCGAGAGAAGTCGAGAGAGTGGCTGCCGCTTGCTTTGCTGGAGAAGGAGTGGCCAACTACTGCCTTGCGCGATGGTGGTGCGAGGTCTAGATGGGAACTAGGAGGTGGCGGTGGTTGTGATTGTTCACTGGTACTAGGGAAAATGAAAGGGAGCTAGCTGCTCTTGTATAGGATTAGGTTTAGTGATTTATATATATATATATATATATATATATGAGTCCTCATCGATATTACTTTCCTAATTCGACAATTTTATTGAGGGCATAATGGTCATTTGGCTTAATAAAAGGGATTGGGTTAAAAAAATATTTGTTTCTATTTTTATTCTTGCCATGCACTATGTTTTTTACACTTTTAAAAACACTTCAAAAAAGTCTAAATTAAAATTTTAATGGCATCTTGTTCAGTGTATATAACTGGGTTAATAACAATAGATATCATGATACATCTTGCAACCTATCATATACTTCGTCTATTTGGAAACTAAGACTTTCAAATTTAAAACCTATGACAAGTTAATCTCACTTTTACTTTTCAGGTTTTGATAATATCATATACTTTTCAAAATCA